CTAGTTACCTGACAGAGGACTTACAGTTTGCTAAGCTCTAAATATCTAAATAAGTGGATAAAAAAGTGAATGGACAGGTAAATAGGAGGTAGTAATTTAATTACAGGGTAAAAGGCTTGGATTTTAGTCTGTGTTAATAAGACTGAAAATATGCAGAACATGTTCATCATACTTTCCTCTTACACTAAGCAGTTAGTTGTATCTCCAGCATGTCTGCCTGTTAGAGATACTTGCATGTTCTTCCTTTTATTACTGCTGCTGCACTCCTCAGAATCACAAAAGCAGTCATCCAAGTCCAGATAGGGGATTTAGTCCTGAACCTCTTCCCCAGGATGAGTTTTTTTTTTGTTTTATTTTGTTTTTCTCCTCCCCTCTAAGTCTGCTTTGAAGACTTGTGTTTGGCACATGTGAAGTTACTTCATAGAGCTCTTCTGCATTACAATTTAGTACACACTCCCCAATTAATACAAGTATCTTTGTTTCTGGTAAGAAGTTATTTTCCAACATGCAAAAGTTTAAGCTTATCTAAGGCAGAAACTTAAAAATAATAATAAAATGGTAAGATAGTGTCTGCCTTGCATCATTAGTGTTATTTATAGACACTCTCAGCAGGTTGTTTCAAGCTTGTCAACAAGTTAAAAGGTAGAATTGCAGTGCTACTTAATAGTAAAAAATATTCTCTTTGCTGCACATAATTAAACAAAAAATGAAGCCATGGCAAACCTCACAAAATATTCGGCCCAGAGGTAGAAAGCTGTCATCACTTCAAGTTGATACAAATAACAATGAGAAGTGTTATTCTCTTATCATTTGAAAGCTTCTGGGTATGATTCACAGAAGTACATTTGTACTATTTACACATTGATTAGCTGATTCTAATATTGTTGGTTTGCATTTCCTGGTAAATTCCTTTTGGGCGTGTATCATAGTGTGAGATCCAAGTGTCTTTAGTTATAATCAGCACTGCAGGTAGAGCAGCTAGTCAATGAAATGTTGTTGTTGTTGTTATGTGTGGTCGAGTCGGACCCAACTCATAGCGACCCCTCCTTGGGTTTCCAAGGCAGTATCACTACTTCCCCATCTTCCTTCCGAGGAGTGGCTGGTGGCTTTGAAGTAGATTGCCCCATCTTCCTTCCGAGGAGTAGCTGGTGGGTTTGAACCAGCCTTCTGGTTAGCAGTCCAGTGCCTTAGGCACTATGCTACCAGAGCTCCCAGTCAATGAAATAGTATTCAAAAATGAAGCTACCACCAGCCTGTAAATGAGAGATCATTGCTGTATGTGAGTGATTAGCTCCATTCTCTGAGACGGCAGTGGTGCCTCTCGTGCATGCTTTGCAAATTCATGTTAGCACTGAGCTAAGCCAAACTCTTAGCAGCCAGTTTGGCTTTTAGTTCTCTAGGTTATAATTTTGTCAAGTGTCAGTGGTTTGCATTGACTCCTTAGTGCCCTGTGTTGAAGTCTCCAGTCAATACCCCAGATCTGGTTTCATCTCCCTGGAGGTCCCCAAAACATGTAGTTTCTCATTTGCTTGATTTTCCTGCCCATAGCGATGGCAAGGGTATGTTTCTCTGCTCCACTGCTGAGATCTGCATGAAAGCAGATGTTGAAAGATGATGTTTCATAATGGAGAAGTGTCTTAATCTCTGTGATATTTGTGTCAGGTTTTTAAGAATGTGATACTCTCCAAGAAATTTGCAAACCTAAGTAGAGATTAGTTTATATGGTTTAACATTTCTTTAAACCATATGTCAATTCAAGGACCTTTGAGGGAAAAAAAAAAAAAAAACAGAAGTATATTATTTGACACAGATGCCTTTCCTGAGTGGAAAGGAATGGTGTTCTCCTGCATTTTGGTTATGGCAGGGGCCAACAAACTATGGTTCATGGGTCAAACCTAGCCCACTGTCTATTTTTATAAATAAGTGTTATTAAAATATAGCTACATCCATTCATTTACATAGTGCCTATGGGTGCTATTTTGGTACAAAGAGTGTTGAATAATAACAACAGTGGCCAGATGGCCTGAAATATTCACTATCTGACATTTTACAGGGGAAAAAAAAAAAAGTTTCCCACTCTTGGGCTGTTGCATAGCATTAGGGGAATGTCTCTCCTAGGACGAATTTATTACTAGCTTTTGGAGTTCTGGACAAGTTATTTAACATCTCTTAAGTTTCAGTTTCTTTGTTGATGAAATGGAGGATCCTGAGGGTTAAGTTTTTTAATCAGATAGTATATTTAAAGCCAATACTGTTCTTATTCTGCAAATATTATGATGGGACCATATAAAATACTTAGCATAGTGTCTACCACATAGAGGAAACAGTTCACTAAGCATTTAGACATAAAAAGTAGCTGATTTTTATTGTTGTTATTAGTATTCTTGTTTTCTGTCATTTTGTGGTGTTTTCTGTCATTTTGTGGTCGTTGCTCTGGAGTTCTTGAAATCCCAGTGTTTTTCTTCCCATTCCTCTGCCAGTGCAGCTTTGTTTCCTACAATGAGGAAGAAGATTTGAGATTTTATGAGTGGAGGTATTGGAGATATTTATGAGTTGAGATATTGAGATTTTCTGAGTGGAGTAGTTGGGAAGGAAGTAGATGGAGCTCTGTGCTGCAGTGTGAGGAACACAGGTCAAAATCCCTGCAGCAGCAGAAAATGGAGCAGGGGCTCTGGGATCTGAAATTCCTGGGTTCATTTATTTGCTCTATTCTTTACTAACTAAATGACCTAATTAGTTCACCTTTCTTTTTTTTTTTTTTTCCATCCTCATAGGTAAGCATTAATAATAGTGACTCACAAGTTTATGAGGATGAACTGAGATCACATATAGAAAGTGTTTGGTGTTTAACATGTGCTCAGTAAATGTTATCTCTTAACGGTGTTGCTTATGTCAGCAAGAGTGGGACAAGAGCTGGCAATGGAAATGTGGGCATCTTCATGGCAACACTCTCTCCCACTTCAGGTCTTTGCTCAGATGTCACTTTTTCAGTGAGTCCTTTCCTGACTGCCCTATTTAAAATTGCAGTCTTCTTTCCTCCCTGGTCTCCATATCTTTCCTCTCTGCTCGAGTTTTCTCTGCACAGCATCTCACCATGTGGCTTACTCTGTGATTTATTAGCTGTTTCTCCCTTCCCATGTGAGTTCCAAGGATATAAAGATTCTTGTTTGTTTTGTTCATTGATACATTCTTGGTGTCCATAACATTGTCAGGTACATGGTAGGTGTTCATTAAATATCTGATGAATAAAAGAATGGAGCCCAGAAGGCCTTAAAAGGCTATAGAAGCACCCTGCTCAGTTTGGATTGGGGCCAGTCCAGAGCTAGAGGCTCACGTTGCAAGCAATCTCATAAACATGGTGAGCCAATCATGGTTGGGCACAGTAATGACAATAGTGAAATAAGAATCTATATTTAAAAAATCTTGAAACTTGTAAGGTTGAAATGGGGACGATGGAAGTGGGGAGGGATCTTTATTATTATGATGATTATTTTACTTTTTTAATTTTTACACTAGTGACTTTATGTTCTGACCTATGCAAGGCTTCCGCAAGTTCTTGTGTCAATCAAATACAGTGCCTTGGGTGGGAATATGGAGAGCAGCTCCAACTTTGCTCAAAGTGTCATTTCCCAGTGGTAGTTGTGACTCCCTTTGACCAAACTGTGAACTCTAAAACTTTAGGGAGATAGACCAACTGACTTATGAGACTTGAACTATGAAACTGAGAGTTCTATCTTGGATTGATATATGGTCAGAAACCTCAAATACATCCTCCTTCTTTCTCTATCCTTGATGCCAAAACATAAACATTTAGAAAAATTAACAAAATGAAAGTTTAAAAAGATGTTTTGTTCAAAGGAGTTGCATTAGGGAATACATATGTTTCCTTTTATAAGACTAACCTCAATCAGTAGATTGGAATTCTTTGTGGGTAGGGCCTGTATTTAATTTGTAACTTCATTTGTAATGCCTAACATATTGCTAGGCACAAAATAAAGAATGAGCAAGTGATTGCACAAATAAATGGTCAAGGTTCATATTTACCTTCTTATAACATTAGTTTCTGATTATAATGTAGGATTTATGTTCTTCATTGTTAAGGTATTTTGTAATAATGTGTAGTCACTATCTTTGGAAGTTTCGACTATGATGCACACAGTAATAAAGGATACAAACTAAATGTATATGTTCTAAGGCCAACAGGCAGATAGGAACCATCTCTGTGGGTGTGTAGATGATGCAAGAAACTGCATCCCTTCTACCCACCAAAACCCAAGGCTTAGATAGTGATATGCCAAAATCCCTCCCATCCGTTCAGATAACATGTGGACTGCTTTGTACCTATCAGGAGAGCTGGGCCTGAGTCAGCAAGAGAATCCATACAGATTATCTAAGATGAGCTTACACTGTGTGACTCAGGAGCCTGCCTATAGGTAGATTTTTCTTCAGCATAAAAGCTTTGGCTGGCCAGAGTGGGAGACATGTTATGCAGCCTATCTCTGATGACAGAGATTAATGTCCCTTGGTGACCAGCGTCCCTCCCAGGATGAGCTAGAAAGCTCTCTGTCCCCTATAAAGCTGACATGTGACTTCAGAGAACTCCAACATCTTCTGTTGCAGCATAGAGTCCAAATTTGACCACATGGTGCTAATAGGGCTATACAGTGCCAATGAAATGATGATAAGGCACAGGGAGGAAGACACAGTCAGGATCTGACAACACCCTGGTGGGACTTATTATGATGTCTGAGCTACTGAAATTTGGCACAGAGTGCCAAATAATAAATCTATTATTCTGCTCTCTGATATCATAGAACTAGGAAATGTGCTAGAGTAGTCATTTAGAAAACTAGCTTCTAAATGTTGTCTAAGCAGGGAGTTTATATTTATTTCTCTAAAAGGACACACTTTATTTGAAAGCTAGTTATTTGGGATAAAATTGTCAGGGGGTATCCATTGCACCCACAAAGTTATCCTGTGTCTTCCATCCTGTTTTCCAGCATGGGCTACTGCATCCTTTTTGTGCATGGATTGAGCAAGCTCTGCACTTGGCTAAATCGATGTGGGGTCACCACCCTGATTATGTCCACTGTGTTGCTGCTGCTGCTTTTCTCTTGGAAAACTGTGAAACAGAATGAAATTTGGCTGTCAAGAGAGTCCCTATTCAGGTATGATTAGAAGGATAAATGTGAATTTCTTCCCATTTATTTCTGTTTATATATCTCTTTATAAACAACTAAAGCAAAATAGGTCTGGTAGTATTTATTAATCCAGGAAATTCTTTGTAGTAATGCTCCAAATGGAAGATGTAATTTACTTGGGGTTTTAACTTTAGTTTTTAAATTATATTATACAAAAGTTAACATGAGCTGGTTATACAGTGAATTTATGAAAATAAGGCTCTTGGGAGGGTTTTAGGATCGGTAAATTCAGATGGAAGCAATCTTAATAATGAGCTGGGCTTTAAAATCAGCTATAAACAAAATGAAACTAATAAGCCTAATTTCATTGTTAAGTCAAATGAATGGGAAAGGCAAACACTCAGAAAGAAGGAAAAGAAATGCAGTTTACCCTCTTTAGAACATTCCAGGATGTTAAATTGTGGTATGGGATCTAGTTGCTTTATTTTTAACATAAATTTTGAACAAAGAAATGAAAGGCTTTCCATCTTCTTGTAGGTTTTTATGTGGTAGATGCTGTTTCTGAATACCATGATATAGCTTATAGCCCTATATTAAAGTGTTCTTTGGGATGTCCTTCATTATATTGTGTATCTGGGGCCTACTTTGTCTCACTAATCCCATAGCTCTGGTGAGCTTCAGGAGCTCTGGTGGTAAGGTGGTCAAAGCATTTGGCTACTAAGCAAGAGCTCAGCAGTTCAAACCCACCAGCCATTCTGTGGGAGCAAGATGAGGCAGTCTGCTTCTGTAATGATTTATAGCCTTAAAAACCCTATGGGGCAGTTCTACTCTATCCTAAAGGATTGCTATGAGTTGGCATTTACTTCAGTGGCAGTGGGTTGCTTATTTATTTAGTGATCTTCACCTGGGCTCTCCTCGCACTTCCACATCTTGCACCCAACCTTATTTGTTCAGTATCCCAGGGATCTCCCAGCTTTTTGTCCTCATTTATGGCCAAAATGTCCAGTTCTATTTATCAACATGGTTTTTACTTGTTTCCCTACTCAGCTATTACTTGGGGGAAAACAACTGAACCCAGTTAGAATCACCTAAGATAAAAGATATATATTGGAAGAGTGTAGGAGAGTTCACAGAATTGAAGGCAGCTGAAGAACCTGGCTTGTAGCAGACAGGTGTCTGCCTCAAACACCATCACAGGAACAACTGGATAAACTACAACCAGTTTTTCCTTTCCTCATATCAGAGTCATGGGAAAAAATGCCCTGCTGCTGAGCTTGACCTTAGGTCACGTACCTTAGGTCAGGGCTCTGAGATAACTGATCTGGCCAAAGAGCATAACTTGACTTTCATAGTGAGGCTTGTGGGGTGAACAGAGTACTTTGGATTCCACAGAAACTTCATAGGGGGAGGTAAGAAGGAATTGCCTAACTGGAATTCCAAATACTGTAAGCAGAAGGGAATGCTTTGAATGGAAGATATAATTTATTTTGGGTTTTAACTTCATTTTAGAGTGCCAAAAATTAATGCATGAATGAATGAATGAATAAGACTATGTTCACTACACTCTTCTGCTATTGTAATTTATCTAACTTTACTCCACAGTTTAACTTCTATGAAATAGAAAATGAAAAAAATCAATTTGGCATGCATAGTTTATTAGTATATTTATTATTACTGTGTTATTATCATCATCATCATTTTGATAAATGCTATAGAGGCCTGTTGCTGCATGTACATAGTTTGTGTTTTTTTTTTTTTTTTAATAAATTTTTTCCTACCCACATCTAGCTTCACACATCACAAAATCTAGCTTCAGATTCTGTCCAGTCTCTGTCATACTCCATGTTCAAGGCATTTCTCACAGACCACACTGGAGTGGTTCTCTCTTGGTCTTCATCACTGAGGTCATTCTGTTAACATGGAGGCATTGGAATTCAGTAATAGAACTTCCTAGTCTTTGCTGGCTTAATTTTTTTTTTTTTAATTTTCTTATTTGATAAGAAACTGTACAACAGTACTACCCTATGTTAGACCCTTTGCCTATAAAGCAAATTAGTAACAGCGGCTGTGTCTTCTAATGATATTTACACTTAATCAAACAACTTTGGCTGTGGATTTTGGCAGGCAGCAGTGTATTTCAAAGATAACAAGTTGTTCAAACCCTCTACAACTGATGCCAGCAATTAAAAAAGCTTATTGCATCCAGAAGCTTTGCTCTTTCAGATGTAAGTACAGTAATCACCTTATCCACAGGGGATACGTTCCAAGACCCCCAGTGGATGCCCAAGACCACAGACAGTAACCAACCCTATATATGCTGCTTTTCCTTTACATATATATATATGACACGTTCCTGGGGTGCCCCAGCATGCAGCATTATTAACCTGTCTGATGCCAGCAGGATGTGCCACAGCCACTCTACCAACTGTGTTTTCCAGGCTTGTACCCAGAGGAGAGGAGAAAGGCTGCTCCATCTGTTCCTTAGAACAGTATACAATTTAAATATTTTTGGACTGTGGTCCAAAGGTAACTGAAACCATGAAAAATGAAACCATGAATAAGGGGGGACTAAAATATGTAGTAAGTGAACAGTTGGTTATAAAATACAGTCATTTCTCATATGAAGTTACAGAGACTTTATGCCCTCAGAGGCCCTTGGTGATCGAATTGAGGAATTGTGTGTAGTGTGCAAAGTAAAGCCATCATTTTTTTTTTTTTTTTAAGAAAACTTCGGCTATCAAATTGTATATATGTCCTGAGAAAACATTTTAGAATCTGAGACTTTTAAGAGTACTCTTATTCCATCAAAGCCAGATGTTTGTGCTTATTCATCTGTGCTGAGTAATGTTCAAATCAGTTTGACAGCTTTGACTGAGATTCTAGGGGTGAGTGTGGAATCTGAAGTCAAACTTCCTAAGTTGCAATGCAAGTTCCACCCCTGAATAGCTGTGTGATCTTTGGTGAGTTACATACTACTTTGTTCCTCAGTTTCTTCATTTTTAAATTTGGAGAAATTATGTTTATCTCTTAGGTATACTATAAGAAAGTAAGTGTGAAATACATAGCACAATGTCTGGAACATGGTAAATACTATCTAGGTTCTTTTGTTAAATTTTTTATTGTGATTTGGGTGAACATTTACAAAGCAAATTTGTTTTACTCTCAATAGTTCGTGCACATTTGTTTTCACAACCCAATTATAATTTCCAACCATACAAAGCTCTCCTCCCATGTCCTCCCTATGACTGTGCCTTCCCTGTGCCCTTCTTATCTGTGCATTCCTGTCTGTCCAGGTTTCCCTCAGTGCAAATGCTGCCCTTCTGATGTCTCATGGTTGATTGATCTAGGAGGTGCATCTCCTTAGGGTGGGTGAGAACATCTCCCTGGGGTAGGTGTTCTGCTTATAGCTCTTTCTACTGTTCGGCTGAGAGCTAATCCATGGAAGAGAGTCAGTTCCAGGCCAAAAGAGTAACCTGAGGCCATAATCTCTGGAGTTCCATGAGTCTCTATTTGACTAGTAATTCTGGTCATTTTTGTGTTTTTGAATTTTGTTCCACATTTTTCCTCGCATTCTATCCAGGATCTCCAGTATTGATTCCTTTCCGAGTGGTTGGCATTGAAAGCTGGGCACCATCTAGTTCTTTTGGTCTCAGGGTCATGAAGGCTGAGGTCCCCATGGTCCATCATATCCTTGGACTTACTGTTTCTAAATGACTTTGACTTTCTTTGATCTTCTTTGCTCCAGAAGAGGAGAAACCAATAGTTGCATCTTAGATGGCTGCTTGATAGCTTTAGAGGCCCTAGTTGCTACTCACCAAAGTAGGATGTAGAACAAGATTTTTAAGTACTCTGTTATGCCAGTTGAGCATGATGTCCCCTAAGACTATGGTCCTGAGCCCACAGGCCCCCATGACTCTCTCCCTCAGGGTGTTTGGTTGTCTCTGAGAAGCTGCTCCAACCTTGTCCCCTGTTACTATAATATATATTAATATTTTTGTAGTACAAGTACATAGGTAAGACTGTCTTCAGCCAAATCTGTTCTTGGTCTTGAGTATATTCCTGTTTGCCTACCCACACCTGATCTCCCTACCTGTCTATGCATTTACCCATAGCCTAGTATTTGCTGCCATTGGTTATGCATTATTGTGCATGTAATAGCATTTGCCTCAGTTGTCTATATCTTTTGTGCATGTTTCTGTGTCCTTCTTTTCCCTATTGTCATTGTGCTGGTCACACACTTTTGTTATATTGCCTTTCCTTTCACCCAACTCCACACGTGAGTCTTAACTAGTCAGAAATTTTCTCTCTCCTTCCCTACCATCCCCAGTAACCAAAAATGTAAATTTCCTTCCCTGCATAAACCTTTCCTTAACTTTTTACAGTAATGGACTCATGCAATATGTGTCCTGTGATTGACTTATTTCACGCAGCATAATGTCCTCCAAATTCATCCACATTATGAGGTGATTAGTGGATTCTTCTTTATTCTTTAATGTTGCCTAGTATTCCATAGTGTGAATGTACCATACATAGTTTAGTTATCCATTCTTCTGTTGATGGGCACTTAGGTTGTTTCCATCTCTTTGCTATAGTGAATTGTGCTGCAGTGAACATGGGTGTGCATAAGTCTATTCGTATCTAATTCTCACCTTTTTAGGATATATTCCTATTAATGGAATTGCTGGATCAACTGGTATTTGTATTTTCAATTTTTAAGGAAATGCCATACTGTTTTCCACAGGAACTGCACCATTTTACAGTCCCACCAGCAGTGTATGAAAGTTCCAATCTCTGTACACCATCACCAGCATATGTTATTTTCTGTCTTGTTGAACTTTGCTATTAGTGCTAGGGTGAAATGCTATCTCATTGTTGTTTTGATTTGCATCTCTCTAATGGCTAATGATCTTGAGCATTTCCTCATGTGTTTATTGGCCACCTATGTATCTTCTTTAGTGAAGTGTTTGTTCATGTTCTTTGCCCGTTTTTTAATTCAATTTACGTTTTTGGTGTTAAGGTGTTGAAGT